TTTTTACAATTATTATGCGTGCAATTTGTATGAGCTATTAGTAACAGACTGACTTTTCACATTTTAGTGAACGGCGCAAAAAAAAAAAGTAATCTATATGTTATATATATATATGATTACACTATTTTCTGTTGTGAAATATTACGTATATCATAGATAGAGATAATAATAATAATAATAATTAAGAAGGTTACAGACGCCACACGGCTGACTTCTCACACTAAATGGGACTTTTATTTTGCCGGAAGCTCAGATGTCTCGGAACGTCAAGGATAGTTCGTCGCTTGTTGTCGCTGTGTCCATGGAAAGTTTGTGGGGGGTTTTTTTCCTTCTTGAAAGTTTACGCAGGGCTGTTGTTGCGCGCATCCAACATGACAGAGAAAGTAACGGACATCACGGCTGGCAGGCAAGTCATGTTTAATATCTGTCACAGCTCTCTCTGGCAGCATGTAAATGTGTTTTAACAGGATTCAACTAAAGGTTAACTGTGAGTGACAAATAATCCCGACTCTTTCGGGGCTAACGTTTGTTGGTCCGCGCAGATAACGCAGAACGTGAGAGTTTGAGTCGGCGGGGGGGGGGTTGCTCTCCAGCAGTTATGACACCGCAGTAATTATTATGAAAGTTGGGCTTGTGCATTCATAGTTTCGTGTAACTCATGTATTGAGTGTTGAGGTTATGCTCTGCTGCCTTCCCTCGCAAAGTTATAATGAACTTGACTCTGGCACGCGAGTGGCAGAAGTAATCCTTAAAGGGATCACGCAGCTTTACAGCGCGCGTCTGGCTCGGTCCGAGCGATACGTGAATTACGTACGATTTCTTAGAATTTGCGTCATTTCGAATGGGCGATTAAGAATTATTTATTTATAGAATAAAAAAAATAATAAACCGCACGTGCTCATGCGTTCACGCCCGCTCAGAAGCTTCTTAATGGCCGGTGATTAAGCCGTATTTTTTTTTGTTGCACACCATATGCATTATTATTATTATTATTATTTATAATAATTATGTAAAGCGAGCTCATTTGCATACTCATGCGAAATAGACTCGTGAACGTGTTTGCATGACTTTTTAGGCGACTGGAAACGCTGCTTTTACTCAAGTTTATGATATTTTTAAATAACAATAATAATATGACAAGCTTATTTGCATACACATGAAATGGGCTCGTGCACGTTTATGCAAATAGGTTTGTCAAATATGCTTTTCATTGTCTGTATCGGGCTACTGCTTTTATTTCAGTTTTTGATGCATTTTATTATTATTGTTGTTAATGATGATAATAATAATAATAATATGAGATGCACTCAATTGCATGCACATGTGAAATGGGCTCGTGAACATGTGTATGCAAATGAGTTCACACCCGATATGATTTCATCATCTGGGCCTCTGGATCAGTTTGTGATGTTTATGTCTTTAATGCTGAAATACAAATCGTAAATTGTGAAGGACTTAGGTAGCATCTACTGAGTGTAAACTCTTCTTAGTTTATGTCGTTTGACTTGTGTAAATTATATATGTATATGTGTTTGTGTGTGTGTGTGCACGCAATATTGAACGTTCATTATATATTAACAAGGTCAGTATGAACTATCACTTCTATTAACTGTACAGTCAAGAAAACAATGCAAACAATCTCATATGAATAGTATTTATCACGCATGACCAGACAATCCACGCCTAAATAAACAAATGAATCTCACATAGCCAAACCTTTACCTGTGACTAAACGGCATAAGTCTGGTCCATATCGCAGCTTATTCTGCAAACGCCTACTTAGACTGGAAGTGCTTATATAATGACCCACCACATTTTGTTTAGATGCAGGTTCATATGAGATATTAATAGATTAGATTATACCCCAATAATCAAAACAAAACAAACTTTGGCAAATACATTGATTAGTTGTACCTTATAAACCTGACAACAAATCCAGTGTGTTGTTACTACCGGAAGGTGTGTAAAATAGGCAGAGAAAGTGCGACCGAGGAGACTAATTCTGATGCAAAATTCATTAGCTGATTATTTTGTACTTTTTTAATATTTAGTACACTTTATTTGGCATGATCCGGGTCCAGAGTTAACTTTTTACCACACCTGGCCTGGAAATTGAAAAAAAGAGAATTGAACTGAAACTTGCAGAAAATATTTGTAACAGACCAAAAAAAATGTAGTTTGCATATATCAGTGTCCCTTTAACAATTGTGTCAAGCAGCAGAAACATAAAAAATAAACCATGCACTGTTGTATTTTCTAATGGTTGTTGTTTAAAATGATGCTCTCATTTGGACTTTGGCGAGTGTTAAGTTTGGATGCTGTGTTAGGGCTGCACGATTAATCGAATGCGATTGTCATGCGCATTTTGATAGTAATGCCGGTTCTGTAATCAGCAGGAAATCATCATCACGTGCTTTCAGATGGAGCAGAATTTACTACACAGAATGTAGTACACATTACTACAAGTTACGCAAAATTTTTAAAAATGTTTAATTTTTTTATAGACGATTTTATTGCGCGATTCTGAAATCGTTGGCGATAATGACAGCTGTTTGCATAGCTTCTCAGTGAACTACAGCTCTGTGAAGTAAATGCTGCTCCATCTGAAAGCATGTGAAAATACCACATTTAATAACATATTTTTACTCCAAACTCACTTCATAACGTCAGTCGAGTGTTTGAAATAAATCCTTCTGTGAGATGATGTGGCTTCTTACACAGAATAAGGCACGCAACATATTTCATAGTATTTAAGCAGTGATAAAGGCATCACATTATAAATATACTTTATTTTAATGAAAATTATAATAATAAGAACTCAGATAAACCATATATTGTCGTAGTCGTGTGTTTATTAGTCACGTTGAATCAATGAAAGCAGTTAAATCTTCTGTTTATTCAGCTGCGGCGATAGACATTTTCTGGGTTTCTTCTGCGAGGCGTATTTGGAGTTTCAGAGTGAGAGCGCCCTCTGGCCTTCGGATGGAGATTTACTGCTGATCACAGAACCGTGCTTCACTGAAAGATACGCATGACAATCGCAGCTTCTGTCGAATCGCGATCTCGATTCCATTTCGATTTATCTTGCAGCCCTACCCTGTGTGATATTTATAACATGCATCAGTACAGTTTCAGTTTTTTGTGTCTCTAGACGTTGGGTGTATACGAACTTAACCTTCTTAGATCTTTCGAATGTACAGCCGAGTACAGAGAAGTGCTGATGCCACATGCTCACATATAGAACAGGGGATTCCGTTGCATCATGCGTTCATCTCAGGCTCTAAGAATCCCCTCGTTCCCACACTCGCTGGCCCCTCAACTCCCACCCATAGGGGGACCGTGTGTCGCGATGTAACTGTGTGATACGGTCGAAGGAGCGTTAAATGCTCAGAGTAGCGCGTATCTTTTGTGTGTGTGTGTGTACATGCACTTCCTTTTGATCATCCTCCTCGGGCTGTGCAGCCTCATAAAAGAGCACAAAGCCTCAGTTTCTGCACTTTTCTGCCCTCTTGTTTGGTGTTTTGTGCATGCTGGTGTCAGGGAGAGAAAGAACGGCTGTTGAATGGGCTTGTGCCAGCAGGAGAGAAAATGACAAGGTAGCTTTGTATCATGTTTGCGGTCGAGTCAAGAATGCTGTCATTGTGTGTTTGGAGACACTGAAAGTTTGTCTAGCAGATGCACAGACATCGTTGAGTGCCAGTGAGGTGTTGTAATGTGTTTTTGCTCATTTGAAGGCACACTTTGCAATGCCTCCCACTAAGTGCGTATAATAAGTGCTCTGTGCTAAAGCAAGCATCACTAGTGCTGTTGCTCACATTTAGAATTAGGGCTGTGTTCAAAGTATATGGTAGTTTGTGCTACGGACCTCGAATCAGTTCTAAACATCAGAATTACGATTTTCACACAGAGGATGAAGAACCTACATGGAAGACATATTTTATTATTTATGGACCAGGGGCCGGATTTATGAAAATAATCTCAGACCAGTGAGGCCTACGATCAATCAGCTCCTGAAAGAAATGCAAAACCTGTGCTAATTAAAAGATTGAATCCAATATTTGGTAATATTATAGCATAATGAAACATTTGTAAGCAGTTTTTTCTTGGTCAGTGATTTTTAACCAGGAACAGTAACAATGTGGCGGAAAAGAGAAAAGAAAAGAAAAGAAAATCACTTTTTGCGGGGTTGAAGTAGTTATAGCAAAGTCAGTCATTTTTAGTCCAATCCCCCCTGGGTCAAAATTACCAGAGATTAACGTATTTCTTGAAATAAATTCTAATTAGAAATCGTAAGAATGATTCAAGGAAAATTCTTTCATAAAAATGCATCATTTTGAGCAAAAAGGTGAGAAAATCACATTTATATCAAAAACTACATCTGGGTAATATTCAGTACGATTATCAAAGCATAAATCCAGTTAATCGCTTCTATCAACATCTCCAAAGCTTGCACAGACATGTGATGTGACATGTGGCCAAGTATGGTGACCCATACTAGGAATTAATGCTCTGCATTTAACCCATCCAAAGTGCACACACACAGCAGTGAACACACACACACCGTGAACACACACCCGGAGCAGTGGGCAGCCATTTATGCTGCGGCGCCCGGGGAGCAGTTGGGGGTTCGGTGTTTTCATTTATATACTGCCATTGCCGATGATCGCATTATTTTTCATATGCATCTGTTTACATAAGAGATTGTTCGTTTCTCCGTCCTGTACACATGTGTTTTTGTTCGGGAGGTACTCGTATCTGCGAGTAGAAGGAAGCAACTTAAAACATTCTGCAAGGGATGGCTGGGATCATTCATAATTAACTCTTAGCCTTATACAAGGCGTTCAAATCATTTAAAGTGGTGCCAACAATCTTACCACACACTTTAACAATACCCTGCAATCTGTTTCTGTTTTTAACGTTTAGTGACCCATACCAACACACAAATGAGAGAGTAATGACAGATTCAATACAAGAGTAAAACATCTTCATGAAAGTACTGTCCACCTTAAAATTGCAAAGCTTCCGCAGGTAGAACATACGCTGGTGGGCTTTCTTACACACAGCATCCACATGAGCCTCAAAGGTCAACTTTTCATCTATTACAGTACCAAGGTATTTAAATTGATGTACAACCTCAACAACATGATCATTAATGACCACAGGAGAGATGACTGTAGGATTCTTCCTAAAATCTATAATCATCTCTTTAGTTAAGTACATTAATGTCCAGAAAGGACAATTTACACCAATCAATAAAATCTGCCAGTACAGGACCATGATCAAGATCTTCACTATTTAAAAGGGAAACAATCACTGAATCATCCGCAAACTTGATGATATGATGCCTCTCTAGTTGCGTTTGACACTCGTTAGTACAAAGTACAAATAAAAGAGGTTTGTGTCAAT